TATATATATATATGTTTTTGTGTGTGTGTGTGTGTGTGTGTGTGTGTGTGTTGTGTGTGTGTGTGTGTGTGTGTGTATTGGAACAGCATTCTTAAATGGTATCGTATGCCATGTATCGCGATACCTTTTGAATCGTCTATGGTTGGAGAGATGCACACCCCTAATGTACATGTGTACAGATAATACAGAATGTGCGGAAGTGTTTCACTGTGCACAAATGTCACAAGCCTCACCATTTTCAAAGTTTATCAGTGTTGACATCGACGAGGACGATCTGTGTTTTGTGATGGTGCAATGTCGAGGAAAATATAAATATGTGTGTAATCCTGTCTGTGAGTATTAAATCAAGACATGTTAAATACTACTTATGCCTCCGTGTGTCTTATTTTTGTGTCATATATTTGTATTATCTTCTCATAATTCAATTTTGTTTCTAGTATTTTTCATATTTACCTTTTTTATTTTGTCATAATTAAAAAAAAATGTTTTTATCTTTTTCTTCCACCATTGTTAATAACCTGGTCGCTTATTTTGTACCATTGTATACTATGTTGGTGTTAACTAGTATTTTTTCAAAACATTTTCCATTATTTGTGTAACTTTGATCTGATATTTCCCTTTTTCTTTTTTTTTTTGTGTGCGTACGCGTGCACACAGCAGGTAGAGATGCACGATCGCGACGCGCGGGTCATGCTGTGATGCGTTCAGGCTCCTGCGCTCCGTCCGACAAACGACGCTGCTGGTGCTGCTGTTGCTGCTGCACCTCTTCATCGGGAACAACCTCGAGGAGAACATCATCGCAGCATCGCCGGCAACCGGTTCCTTGTGCATTGCGCACCTCCCTCCGACCACCAGCTCCTCAATCAGCCCTCCTCCTCCTCCTCTTCGCCTCCTCCTTCTCCTCCTCAGCCTCGTCGCCACCGGAGGGGAGTTTTTCCTGTGTACTTTGCAGGGGGAGAAGAACACAATAGCAGTCCGATAAGGTAAGCCGCCCTCCCCGGTTGTTTCGTTGCGTTGTGGACGGACGAGTTGAGTTTATTCTTCCACTGCGCAATTTCTTCAATTGCGCATTTGTATTTATTTTATTTATTTATTTTTGCGTCCTGCAGCCTCGGCATGATGTGCGCTCTATTTTTCTTTTTTTTTTTTTTTTTTTACATTTTATTTCAGGGTTCACAAATTGGCGCATCTTTCCCAACACACACACACACACACACACACACACACACACACAGACACACACACACACATCATCCCTGCGCCCCCTCCCTTTATCACTGCGTCGTTTCTATCGGAATGCGGCAGCGTCTCTCGGGAGGCGCCGCCACTCTATCGTCATAGCGTCGTCGTCGATAACGAGAGAGCCCCGCTATTTTTTCGCATTCTCTTCTCCTGGGCCTGTGTGCGCATAGCGCGCACATCATCATCACCACCACCCTCCACCATCCACGACCACCCTCCTCCGTCCAAGACCCCCCCTCCCCCC